AGCCCATTGATACTACCAACATCATAATTTGTTTTTTTAAATAAGGTTATAAAACATATCACAACTTTTAAAGTTGCTTTTATTAGTTGAACAGAAGTATTGAATAAATAAATGTTGAATGAATGAGCAAATGGGGAAGTAAATTTGAGGGCTTTAACATTTAAATAAATATTCAGGAAGCGTGGCTCATCATTTCATTGTCTTAAAAATCTATGCCTCACTTGGCAGCCCTTTTTATCAATAACTTTATCCAGTTGTTCCAATATCTGGTCTCTGATCCTTGACTAAGCTATTCTTGAAGAGCCTAAATTGTAAGATAAAAGGTCAAAATGTCACCTATGACAGTGTTTACGTGGCCATGTTCATTTAGACACTAGGAGTGAGGAGTTCATTTTTCTGTCACATCTGAAATAAGTTTGCTAGAGTCAATATGCTTGGCCTTTACTAGGAGCTATCTCTATAATGCTCATCTGTTCAATCAATAGAAACTGAGATCCTACTTTGTGCCAGGTGTGGTCTTAAACTCAATAAAAGGCAGATTTCTCATTAAAAAGCAAATGGCGGAACCCTCTGGACCTGATGTTGGCAGCAGCTGTGCCTTCTCTGAGACCTTTTCAAAAGGACATTTCCTGGCCTTCACCCACCACAGCATCCCTGCCTCTGAAGCTCTTGTCTTCTGATGTTTCATGGCCAGGGAAGTCCCATCACCGTTCCTTCTTCCCCTGCCACTCTCCACCAATTTTCTTTCTGGGACCCTGCTTCCACCTGCCTGGTTTGACGGCGAGGAGGGAGGTATTTTCTAAGCTTTGTCATCAGCATGAGAGCAAGGAGGGAAGTAGGTGAGCTCTGAGATGAGTCCATGGAGCACCTTCCTGCCCGGCCATGTCAGAAACCTCCAAGGTCCTGCTGGAGCCAGGCCTCCACTTCCTTTCCCTACAGTGCATGGGCTCTGGGCAGTGGCTGGGCACCCAGCCTTCCCAGAGGTTTTTCTGGGAGGGACTCTCCATTGAGCTGGCTGGTGAGAAGGGACCTCACTGGGGAACAAGCAAGACTGATCATGTACTGTGCTTAGCACAGCACCTAAAATGTGGGGTTACTCACTAAATGCATCCCTTCTTTCCCTCCCTGTAGCCCTTTGGGAGTCCTGACCTCTTAGTGAGTGGGGAGGTAAGAAGCTTTCCTCCCTCATCTGCCTCTTCCATGGGCTTCCTTGAGGTTTGCCGAGTCCTATCCCACCCTTCAAGTCCCTGGTGCTAGGAAGGGGCTCCCCTGTGCTATTTGCCTGCTACATAAGGCAGACTCCTGTGGCTCCTCAGGTCCAGTGTGGGCTGCAAGAGGACCATAGACTCAGCTGCCACTGGGCGAGGATGGAGAGGCTCATGCGAGGTCTCAGGTCAGGCCTGGGAGCTGGTACTTTCTCCTGCCCTTCTCTTCCTCTTCCAAAGGCCAGGCTCCAGGGCAGGGACTGGGAACCCTTGGGGAGATTCTGAAAAGGCTACAGCATTTTTAAAATAGGTTCTTGGGACTGGGTTTTGAGATTGAGTTGAAAGCAGAGAAAAACCTGAAAGTCAGTGACCCTATGGGGCAGACCAGTAAAGAAATCCCTTGACTATTTTATTATGTGGTTGTCTTTCCTCTCTGGCTTCCAGGTCCTCCGTGCTAGGTGAGGTCCCTGTTACAAATCAGGAGCACTGTAGAGAGAGCCCCTCTTTTGTACAAGTACCTGAATGCTGCAATGAGCAGATTTTTGTAAAAATTTTTATTAGTTTCTAATGTCATTGGTGATTCATTTCCTAGGGGCTGCAGTCAGCCAGGAACTTTTATAAGAATTTTGGGTGACTCATTTAGATGTAGTGTCCTTCTTGCCCCCTCTTCCTCTGTGTAATCTAAGTGCATTAAACATCTTTGCAGAACTAAAAAAAAAGCAAATGGCGCTTTAAATGTACGTACTTCAACTCATGGAATGTTAATGGTTTAATCAATTAAGTATTGATTATCTACTCTGAACCTAACACTTAGAATGTGCTTAGTACAGTAAGAGATAGGAAAAAACCCAAAAAACTAGGAAAACTTCCAGGCATAATGAATTGACATTCTTACTTCAGAATTGCCCATATCAAATGCAGACACACAAGGATGCTGAGCTCAGCAACATCGGAAATACTCGCTACTCTCTGACTGGCCTAGTTTGCAGGTACTGCTAAGGAATGACAATTTTCTGTAAATTCACAGAGGACATTTCATCATCCACACTGAATAGTGGCCCCTGGCTGCCTTGGGCCACCTTCTCTGCCCCAGGCCCAACATGCACTGTATGTTGAACTCAAGGCAGGTAGCTCCCGGCCTTTCCGGCCCCTGTGCAATAACACACTTTTCTCCTTCCTCTCCCAGACTCCAATCCTCCTCCTTCTCCTTCTCACCAAATCTCTTTCACTTCCTTTTTCTCTGATCTATGTACCCCTAGGAAACACAAAAGGGTGGGGAACTTTGGCAGTTGATATCCTGGTCTATTGTTTTAGTGATTTTGGTTTCAATTTCTTTACCAAAAAGAAGAGGCCAAGGGTTTAAGTCACTGAGTTCAAATTGCTTTGTTTATATCATTGGCTCAGGAGCCCTCTACTCACTTAAGTTTGAGCCTGTGGCTTTTATTCACATTAAAAATAAACAGGAAGAAGCATTGTGAAATACATCTACTGTTTATATCAACTTGCCTTTTCCAATAAATCTCTCCATGAACAGTAAATGCATGCCAAGCTGATCAGTCAATGTGAAAAAATAGTTTACTGTCGGCTAGAATCTCTGCTAATAAAAGATTCCTGATTTTTAATCCCACTGACAAGTAATGTTAAGTTTAAAAACTCAAACACATTTTTCACTAATTTCCCGTTTCCTGCTACTTCTTTTGGAACAACTTTTCTATGCTTATTTCTACTGCAAGTAGTTTTGTTTTTACACTTTACTGTTTCTTATAACTTTACTATTGCTTCTGATTACAGTGTCATTGCAAAACTATCAGGAAATTTTTTTAAAAAGAAAAGAAAGATTATCTTCAATCCCACCATTACTTCTTTGGTATATATTCTTCAAGACTTTTCTGTGCATATGAACACACACATGGTTTACTGGAGACTATTTTTTCGTTCATTTTTTTGTTATTAATTCCCACACGAGGATATTTTTTTCATTGCTTTTTAGAGAGTGGGGAGAGGGGAGGAGAGAGAGAGCGGAACATTGATATGAGACAGACACATCAATTGGTTGCCTCCTGCACGTGCCACAACCAGGGCAGGCCTGGGAACAAACCTGTAACTCAGGTATGTGCCTGGGAATTGAACCCCAGATCCTTCGGTGTGCAGGGTGACACTCTTAACTACTGTGCCACACTGGTCAGAGCTTGTTCATTTTTATTTCAACCAGCTTTTTTTTTTACTTATGATATCATAGACATCTCTTCATGTTAATATAGATTCACTTCATAATTTTTAAAAGCTGAATAATATTCCATTGGATGGGTGTACCACATTTTAACTAATTTTCTACTGGTAAGAGATTTAGATAAACATTTTAAAAATCATTTAAAATAATACTTCAGTGAATATTCCTACATATACTTTCTCATTTCCTTAGAATAAATTCCTAGAAGTAGAATCGGGGAGTTAAAGTCTGCGATCTTGTCTAAAGCTTTTGTTATGTTGCCAATTAGTCTCAAGAAAAACTGGACCCATTTACATGCCTTCAAAGCAGAGAATCTAGGTGTTTCCCCACATCCACATATTTAGCTGTTTTTCAGAAGGGTTATATTCTGAAGGGAATTTACCCTTGCCTACAAGGTTGTGTGTTGGTTGTCCAGGCACAAGACTGAAAAGCTTAACAGTCTAGGAGACGTCTGTGACTCATGGTCCACAATGAGACAACTGGCTCTCCAGATGTTCAGGGCTATCATCTTGCATCTGGAACAGCTAGGTGACTTGCAGGGAGATTTCATAATATTAAGGCAAATTGGCCAAATCTGCTTGGAGTTTATTATTGACGCAGTGTTTTTGAAACAGTTATGTTCATCCTGCCCTTGGGATAATGAGGATCCCACGGCTCCAGTCTGATAAATCTCAAATGCTGTTGTGGCTGCTGGCCTTTCACCCTCAAATCCTCCCACCACTCCATGCTGTTCCTTTCAACTCAGTCAACATGTTTTTTTTCCCTTTTCCTAAGCATTACCTTATTCTGCTCTTATCTGTAAGACCTCTGTTATAACACCCCTCCTTTCTCTTTACCACCCTTCCTCTGTCATAAAAGGTAGCAAATACATAATGATAATGAAATTGGAAGAAAAATGGCACTGCAAGCTATCGTTTCTAAATCAGGATTCTGTGAAGCTGCAGAAAAGTGGGAAGCTGTGCCAGAGGACAGCTGAGGAGGATCCTTGCCATGTCTACTTTCTTGACTTTGGATTTAGCAGCAAGCATTTCTTCTCACAAAGTGCTGGCCTCATCCTCATATGTCCACCCCAGCTTCTGATCTCCGAGCCTCTCATTTCCCCCTCCTGACTTCCATCCCTGCCCATGACTGTGTCACTCTGCTCAGGAACGACAAGGATTAGGAGCAGGGGTCATGGGATAACATAAATGAGGACAGTTTGTATTGGCAGAGCTGGTGGGAAAGGAATGTACTTTTCCCCCAGATGTAGGATAGACTGAATTGCATGGAACCTTAAATGTTAATAACAGTAAGCTGGTTGGGAAGGCGTTTGGATCTCTTTGCAGGAATGTAGACTGCAAAGAATTTTCAGATTCTTAGAATCTCATGGGGGGATAAATGGTGATGGATGGAGACTTGACTTGGGGTGGTGAACACACAATACAGTGTACAGATGATGTGTTGTAGAATTGTGCACCTGAAACCTGTATAATTTTGTTAACCAGTATCACACCCCCACCACCAAAGAAATGTATCTGCTACTGGGACTTTTAGCATGATATCAGCTTACTTCTCTTCTCTTACAGTGACAGCAATCTCCGTGCCTATCACTGTGCTTTGTGGAGTATGTGTGGTGGCATTTCTTCTGGTACGTTGTTACAAAAAATCAAGGTGAGTGGCACGGGAGAATCACACCGGACAATAGTCTTCCTTTCCTCCAAGAAAACAGCTTCATTCTCATGACTCTGGGCCTGCCTTCCCAGAGGAAGAATCCCTTTCCTGACTAGAGACACAGGCTCTCACTCTGACCCACCTCCATCTTGGCCAAAGGGGTGTGGGGCCCTGGCCAGTGGCTCGGTTGGTTGGAACGTTCTCCCGTACACCAAAAGGTTGTGGGTTCAATTCCTGGTCAGAGGACCTACCTGGCCAGTGGGTTTGATCCCTGGTGGGGGCACTTATAGGAGGCAACTGATTGATGTTTCTCTCTCTCTTCCTTCCTCTGTCCTCTAAAACATATCCTCGGGTGAGGATTTAAAAAAAACAAAAGGAATGGTGGAGGTGAGCAGTCACTGAGCCAACCTTAGCCCTTCACTTTCCAAAGCAGGCCACTCGTCAGAAATGGGGCAGCCAGAACCTAACTGATGACACGGCACCAATTTTACCAAGAGCCAATTCAGAAGGAAAGAATGTGCCAAATAATCAATTTGATGGATATGCAATTTGTATCAATTCTTATCATATATTCATGAACATATTCTTCAATGCACTCCCTAAATATGGATATACTTTTTTATAAACCTGCTCATTCATGTCAGCCTTACTTTTGTATTTCTAGTAATTGAAATTCTATATTTCAGCATGTGACAAGGTTGTTGCTTGCTGAAATTTCAGATCTTACTATTTTTCTAATCTTCAGGCATTTTTATCATTCTTTCATTAAAGCCTCAAGTGACATATCAGCCTTAATTTTACACTTCTACCAATTAGTAACCAGTACTTCAGCATTCCATATTGATACGGTTGCTCTGTATCCTTCCTCAGCCTTATATAATGAATGGATATCAGATGTGTTGAAAATAAACTTTGAGTTACTAGTAAAAAAATATTCTTTTCTAAATATCACATCAATATAAAGACTATACTGCCCTTTGAGCCTAACTGTGAAAAAAATGAATATTTCATGAAATGCTACTGCAAAGCCAAAATGAAAATGTCATCTAAAATTTTACATAAATCTTCAAAAGCTGTTAATACCATCTCAACCAATAAAAAATGCCATAAACCTCAGAAATTAACAAACTAAGGTTGATATATTACTTAAAAACTTATCAAAAAAATCCAAACAAATGTTAAAATGTTGGCAAAGTTACTTTTAAAAGGATTTTAAAAATAATAATTTCCATATAAAATGCTGTATTTGGAGTTATGTTTCTTACATTCTTAAGAGATTATAATGACTATATTCACTGACAATATTTAAAAAGAATACATACACAATTTTTTAAAAGAATAATACATTTTTAAAAATTAAAAAAATTTATATTTAGTATATCTTTATTGATTTCAGAGAGGGGAAGGGAGAGGGAGAGAGAGAGATAGAAACATCAATGATGAGAGAGTCATTGATTGGCTGCCTCCTGCATGTCCCCGACTGGGGACTAAGCCCACAACCCAGGCATGTGCCCTGACTGGGAACTGAACCTCGATCTCCTGGATCCTATGTCGATACTCAACTGCTGAGTCACATCAGCTGGGCCTCCTCATTCTTGGTTTGCTCTTCCCTTTACTGTAATCCAATCCTCACGTAGCTTCACTGATTACATTTTTACATGTGAAAATGCCCTTATTCTATCGATTCTTTGGTTAGGCTGAGAATTCTAAGTTGGAGACCATTTCCTCAGTTTTGAAGGTACAGCTCCATGGTGCTGTTATTGCACAACCTGAAGGCATTTGAGTCTTGGACCTTTATAGATGACTTTCTTTCTTTCTGGGAGCTTGTAGGATCTTAACCGCTGAGCCATGCCCAGCAGGGATAAAAATATATTCTTTAAAAGTATTTGAGCTTAATGGTTCCTAGTGGCTCAGCCACAGCCTGTGTCCCGTGGTGATGTGCACTGGTGGTGGGAGTCCCAGGAAGGACTCAGGGAGACCTAGGAAACCCAGAAATAGACTCAGTGGCCTTTGAGGATGTGGTTGTGACCTTCACCCTAGAAGAGTGGGCCCTACTGGATTCTTCACAGAAGAAACTCTACAGAGATGTGATGCCAAAAACTTTCAAGAACCTGGCCTCCATCGGAAAAAAAATGGGGTGATCATGACATTGAAGAACTGTATAAAAACCAGGGGAGAAAACTAAGAAATCATATGGCAGAGAGGCTGTGTGAAACTAAAGAGGGTAGTCAATGTGAAGACAATTTCAGTCTTACTTCAAATATGAATCTGAACAAGAAAACCACTGCAGTAAAAGCACATGAATGCAGTACATGTGGAAAAGTCTTTATGCATTATTCATCCCTTAACAGGCACATCAGATGTCACACTGGACACAAATGTTACAACTATCAAAAATATGGGGAGAAGCCATATAAATGTAAGGAATGCGGGAAAGCATTTTGTGTTCATTTATCCATTCAAACACATAAAAGGATTCACACAGGAGAAAAGCCCTACAAATGTAAGGAATGTGAGAAAACCTTCATGTGGCATGCGGGATTTCAAAGACACATGATAGTGCACAGTAAGGATTCTCCTTATAAATGTGAGGAATGTGGTAGAGCCCTCAGGTGTTCCTATTCATTGAAGACACATAGAAGAATTCACACTGGAGAAAGACCCTATCAGTGTAACCCGTGTGAAAAAGCCTTCAGATCTTACAGTTCCTTACAAATACATGAAAGAACTCACACAGGAGAGAAACCATATAAATGTAAGCAATGTGGTAGAGCCTTCAGTTGTCCCAGTTCTTGTAGAAAACATGGAAGAGTTCACAGTGGAGAGAAACCCTATGAATGTAAACAATGTGGTAACGCCTTTAGATATTCCTCTTCCTTCACTCATCATAAAAGAAGTCATGAGAGAAATCGCATGAATGTAAGCAGTTTGATAAAGTCTACAGAGATTACAGTTCCTTAGAAACAAAAGGATTCATGAGAGAAGCCCTATGAATGTAAGAAAGCTGGAAACGCTTCAGGTGTTAAAAGTTTTTGATGACATGGAAGAAATCACACAGGAGAGAAACCCTATGAATGTAAAAAGTGGTAGAGCTTTCATTTCTCATCTAGGCTTTTGAATACATGAATTCATAGAATTTAAATTCTAAGAGTTTAAATGTGGTAATGCATTTGTCACACAGCTATTCAAAGATATGTGTGAATGCACACTTGAGAGACATAAATGTAAAGAATATGAATAGGCTTTAGTCATCTCAGTTCCTTCCAAAGTCATAAAAGGACACACTGGTTAAAGCTTATTTTTATTGATTTTTTTTTTTTTAAGTGAGAGAGAAACATCTATGTGAAAGCAAAACATAGACCAGCTGCCTCCTGTACACCCCCTACTGGGGATTGAGCCTGAAGCCTAGGCTTATGCCCTGACCTGGAATCAAACCTGAAACCTTTCATTGCAAACCAGCCAGGGCTAAAAGTTCTTGAATATAAACTGGGAAAGACTCCCAATGGTCCACATTCGTACATGTGAAAACTTTCACACAACAGAAACAAAAAAATATAACATGAGAAAGCGTAATGGAAATTAATCCATGTATAGTATAATGTTCCGGACAATAACACAAGTTATTAATAAAATTGTAAATGCTGTGTTTATTCAGCCTCTCTTAATATGAATCAATGGCATGGGTTTCTATTAATTTCAGAAACAGACATTGAGGTGACATAATTGCAAGTCATCTTCAACAATCATATATAAGATTAATAAGTAGTGCTTTTTTTTCTTAATATTTCTTTTCAATTTTGAAGCCTGTTGGATTGATGGGTGGGTTGAAATTTATTTCTAATATGCAATTAGGTTTAATTTTTTATAATGTTTTATGTGTTTTGTGCTAGGAGGCCACAGAAATTTGACAGTGTGATATTTGTTGGGATTTTCCTATTGGCTTTTTGGCAGTTCCTGTAAATCCCTAGTGCATTATATATATTCTGCCTTTCATAGTGACAAAGTTTCTCCTTTGGGTGTAAGCTTTTCTCCATTCTCCATACCAATAAACAGTTGGAATAGTTATTGAGTATGGCAAGTTTATGAAAGAATATAGTTTTATGTGAATTATTATTTTCATTTTGGACTTCTCTTTTTTGCTGACTGTTTGCTGAATAGACTTTGACTTAAGAAGAGAGACCTGCCCAGCTGGCGTGGCTTAGGAGTTGAGCACCGACTTATAATAATAGGAGGTTGAGGTTCGATTCCCAGTTAGGGCACATGCCCCAGTTTCAGGCTCGATGCCCAGCGGGGGGCATGCAGGAGACAGCCGATCAATGACTCTCATCATTGATGTTCCTCTCTCTCCCTTCTCCCTCTCTCTCTGAAATCAATAAAAATATATATTTTTAAAAAAGAGTAGAGACCTGTGATAGGACAGAAATCTCAAGCTAGAATGTTCCCCTGTGGTAATGTTATTAACTAGGTTATTAGTCAGATTTTGGAGCTACCATTCAGGGAGAGAGATACATAGGCATTTCAAAGACACCATCTTTTATCTCATTTTCTGGATTTATTTACTTATTTATTTGTACTTCTGATCAAGGGTATCCTCAAAACCTCCACCAACTCTTTCACATTTAAACAATATATAAGTTCTTGTTGATTTTTAGAGAGAGGAAGAGAGAGGGATAAAGAGATAGAAACATTGATGAGAGAGAAACATCATCAATTGGCTGCCTCCTGCGCTCCCCCTACTGGGGATCGAGCCCACAACCCACGCATGTGCCCTGACCAGGGATCAAGCCATGACCTCTTGGTTCCTGGGTCGACACTCGACCACTGAGCCACACTGGCCAGGCTTTCATGTTCGTTTTTTAGAGAAGTAGATTTCCACTGATATTTTCAGAAGACACACATCAAAGATCCATCAGAGTTTGGATTTTTCTCTAAGCCCTCTTGTGGTCCACCAGGAAACTGATTCAGACTTGTATTTGGGGATATTGTGTGATTCCCCTCCTTAGAGTGTATCCATATAAGATCTAATTTGTAGGAGACACCTCATGCTCTCAATGGTGCTAATAAGTATGTGTTCTTTATTCACTATGACATCTACAATTGTGTAGAGACAAAGAAGGATAAGGGAGTTTGTTTTCTCCACTGCATTGTACACTGGCTGCCTCAACCTGGTCCTTTCATGAGAAATGCGAGAATAAGCACATTTTTCGTATCTGAAAGATGGAGTTTTCTCTTGTAGCTGAATGTATTCTTTCAATGTTCTTAATTACTTTCATGATATGTGATTAAAAGTATGTGTAGCTTTTTTTATAAAAAAAAAAAGTCTTTGAAAATGTGGTACATATGGCTAATAAATATGCTCATAAGAAGAAAATATCAGTATTGCAGACTATGCAGACTATGTGGAAGAAATATTCATAAATATATCTTTAAGAATTGGTAAACTTCCAAGGAGCTCAAAGTGCTTATTTTAAAATGTCCTCAAAGGTGCTTATCCTCAGGTGGATTAAATAATCCATGGAAGAAATTGCTGACTCAGATACTCATGGCCTAAAAAACAGATCATTTAACACAGACAGAAACATGGAATTAAGGTGTTCTGACTCCCCTCCTCTTGATTGTTCAGGAACTGATTAATATATTTATTTAACACTAAGTGCCAAGAACGGTTTTAAAAGCTTTTAAATATTATATCATTTTTATCAGGATTATCACAGCTGGCTGAGCTGGACTCCTAGTTACTCTCTCCTCTTGTCCTTGCTATCTGAACTACCACTTTTTAGCAAAGGGTTGGCAAGGTGGGGGGAAGTTACTCCAACAGCATTGGGAACTCTTTGGTGGATAAGGGGATTAAAAATACCAATGGGGGAGAGAGAGGGGACATCTGTAATACTTTCAACATAAATTTAAAATAATAATAATAAAACAAAAATACCAAAATAGGATTTAAATAGTATTTGTGAGTGGAGTTTTCTCTATCTGAGTGTTCAATAGGGACTGTTTACTCAATTTGAGGGCAATGCTCTCCTCTTTTCAAAACCTGTGAATTATCTGCTTTACAGGCAAACTTCCTGGATGCCCAGTGTTCAAATGGAAAATATGGAAGATATACCAATGACTGGGGGAACCAATGGCGGAGAGGACAACACAGAAAATGACCACACAGCCTTGGAAACTCCAGGGGAAAACCAGGGCCAGCAAGGGCTATAGCAAAGGCACCAATTCTGCTCTAGCCAGAGGCAACCTAAAAATGTCTCAAGGAGTTGGGTACTAGGGAGAAGCCACCAGGATGCTAAAATGTCCTGTATCATTTTATCAGCTGTGCCCACCCTCAGCACTGCCTGTCTGAGTAGGTTCTCCAGGCTTAGAATGGAAGCTCAGTGCCTGCTCTGCCTCTGATATACGGCCAAATTCCCAAAGTCCCAGCCATAGAAGGCCTCAGGTCTTCCTATCAGGGATTTTATTTAATTATGTCATTTACTCAGGATAGTTTATCAGCCTGACTCTTCCATCCCTCCTCCGGACTTTCAGTTTACAAAGAAAAGAAATATGTCTGAGGTTCTAAGTGAATTTGTAGGCTCCTCCTGGCTTGGGAAATATCTATAAGGATGACATCAGCATTTCAGCTCCTAAAACTCTCTCCAGTTAGGTGCTCTGCATGCACTGAAAGAGAGCAAGGAGATATTGTGCCCAATGAATTTTCCTGATTTAAGGATTCAGAAAGAACTCAGTGACATTTTCCAAATATATACATTTATATTTATACTTCCTTGTCTATTATATGTACATATTATATGACTTGCATTCTGAAATTGTACCTTGTATAAACAAAATAAAATGTCTATTTTCAATTTAAAAATGCAGTAAAAGAATCACTGAGAAGAAATGTACACACACACAACAACAAACAACAAAACACCAAAAGGAGAAAGAGCAGGAATGCAGAATCCCAAATGGTTGAGCTCTCAGATTTTCTAAAAGAGAAAAAAGCTTTGGCTAAAGCTGGATCAGATCAGTTTTAGAGAATTTCTTATGGGATTTCCATGTGAGAAGCTACACGTGGCAGGTTATGGCCCAGTTATGCCTGGTACACACATGTTCTTGCTCTGCATTGTTCTTTTTCTTTGCTGTTTATAACATTTAAAAAATAAAATCATGGTCCTAATCCCACTACCTCATTTTATAGATGAGAAAATTGAGGCCCAAAGAAGTTGACTTACCCAAGGCCACATCGTTCAATTAATGCCAGAGTTTGAACAGAATTTGGGATGGGGAACAGGGAGTAGTAGTCCTGATCATAATCTAGCTATCAACTAGCCAGGGGTAGCAGGTGCCCATTGCAAGCATTTGGGAGGTGGGGCATAGCAACCAACTCACGCTCTACCAGAGGCTCTCAAAGGGTCCTTTCTTCTTAACTTCTTTGTGTCATCAGTTTAGATGGCTTCATCAAAAGCGAAGGGAGGGTAGGAATTTAAGTAGCTGGTGCTGGGAATTTTCACTACCTGCAAATACCTTTTTCAATGAGTAGAAAAACTCATTGCTAACACATGAGCTGAGCCATTTTATTAACTCTTGTCCTTAATTACTTCATAATCCTAAACCTGCCTGATTTAAACTCTTCAGCTGCTTACCCCTAAGTTTCTAGGGCTGGATCCAGTTTGTTCTTTATAAGAAGTTTTAAGATTTTGATCCTTGTTTTAAAACAAATTTGACAGAAAACACAACTTACATGAAAAATTGTGCAGATGTTCAGTGGAACCAAATTTTGAAAGGTTTCTATTGCGTGTAAGAGGGGGGTCGAGCCTGAAACCTGGGCATGTGCCCTGACCAGGAATCAAACCATGATCTCCTGGATCATAGGTTGATGCTCAACCACTGAGCCATGCCAGCCGGTCTACCCTATGTCCTTTGATTGGAGCATTTAATTTATTTATATTTAAGGTTATTACTGATAGGTACTTATCTCCTGCCATTTTACTTCTTTATGCTCATGTTTCTCATTCTATTTCAACTTCTTATGACAACAGTCCCTTTAACATTTCTTTCAATGCTGGTTTGGTGGTGAAAAACTCCTTTAGCCTTTTTTTTTTTTTTTTTTTGGTCTGGGAAGATCTTTATTTCACCCTATATTTTGAATGATAGCCTTGCTGGATAGAGCAGTCTTGGTTTCATATCTTTGTTTTGCATTACCTTGAATGCTTCATGCCATTCCTTCTGGCCTGTAGATTTTCTGAGAAATCAGTTGACAGTGTTATGGGAACTCCTTTGTAAGTAAAAGATTGCTTTTCTCTTGCAGCCTTTAAGACTGTCTTGCATTTTTGGCATTTTAATTATGATGTGTCTGGGCATGGGCCTCTTTGGGTTCTTCTTACTTGGGACTCTCTGTGCCTTTTGAACTTATGTGACTTTTTCCTTCCCAGGTTACGGAATTTTTCTGCCATTATGTCTTCAAACAGGTTCTCTAACCCTTGCTTACTTTCTACATCTTCTGGCATTTCTATGATATGAATATTGTTATGTTTCCTGTTGTCCCACAGTTCCCTTAAACTGCCCTGATGTTTTTTGTTTTTTCTTTTTGGTTCTCTGATTTTTTTCTACCCTATCTTTTAATTGGCTGATCTGATCCTTGGCTGTTTATTCCTTCCAATGTTTGTTTGTTTTTTAAATTTCTATTATGTCATTCTTAATTTCCTTCATAGTTTCCATTTCTTTTCTCATGCTTTTGAGTATTCTGAACTCTATATCTGATAGATTGCTTATCTCCATTTCATTTAGCTCTTCTTCTGGAGAATTCTTTTGTTCTTTCATTTGGGGCTTGGTTTTTTTGGCTCCCCATTTTGGCTGCCTGTTTGGATTTGTTTCTATGTATTAGGTAGATCTGCTAGGACTCCCAGTCTTTTGGATGGTCTCTGGTGCCGATCAATGTCAGATGCTGTTTTTGACTGGCCTTGAGTACCGTTTGAACTTTTGTGCACTCCACAGCTTGTTTCCTCTACTGGGGTTGGGTACGTTTGGACAGGAAAAAACTGTTCTTCAAGGTCTGCTTTTCCAAGCCCTGGGTCCAGATGCAAATCAGGAAAAGACTCAAAGCACTAAGAGGCTGTTATTCAGTCTCTTAAGGAGACTCAGGCTTTAGAACCATAGAAACTCCACAGGGTGGGGTGAAGGTTTCCCAGCAAGGTGGGGCAATTGCTTCCCCCCCAGGAAAAAGCTGCTGAGAAGGTAAATGTCTGCCTGAGAAAGATATCCTAGCTGCATGGGGAAATGACAGCACAGGAATCCAGATGGCTGCCCTCTGAGCTCTACTCCCCTAAGCCAGCAATCCCAGATCCTCCTCACACAGCTCTAGTCCACTCTGCCCTCCAAAGGCGAGTGGCTGCACACGAAACTTTGTGCATTGGCTCTTTAAGAGGGTGCCTGCATTTCCAGCCATCTCTCCTTGTCAAACAGAAACCCCACTGCTTTTCGCAGCCAGATATTATGTGGACACCTTTCTTAGTTCTGAGGCTCTGGGCTGGAAAGTCCAGTTGGGGGTTTAGACCCGAGTTCTCAGTGGGAACCCCCCACAGCTGAGATATCCCTCCAGAAATTCAGCTGCTGCCTATGGGAGCCCAGCCAGCCCTCTTGTGCCTCCACACTTCCTACCAGTCTCTATGAGGTCTCCATTTTAGGTCCTTGGTTATGAGGGTTCTCTCCAGCTAGTCTTCAGTTGCAGTTGATTATTCAGGAAGGTTTTTCTATATTTTAGTTGTAATTCCAGTTTGATCCCAGGAGAGTGTCAGTGTAGCTTCCACTCAATCCGCCGCCATCTTGATTTCAGTGATGAAACAATCTGAGTTACAATTCAAGTCACAGCACCATTATGTTGTAAGCAGCAGAATGACACTGGGTGTTAGTCCAGTGGGGTCACACCGGACCTGGGTTCAACAACGGTACTTGGGTTATGGTTGGAAAGAATTCAGAGCCAAGACCTGAACTATAAGAACATTTATTTTGTTAAAATTACAGAGGTGGAAGAAATAATTCCTAGAAGAAATGGGCTTAGAAAACAAGCTATAGAGGCAATCCCACTGCATTTATTGACCTGGATATTTGAGGAGTATTTTAGAGGTAATAGGACTTGAGTTGAAGGATGGGTGGGATTTAATGAATAGAAACAGGCAGGGAGGGTTCTAAACAGGGGGAATGACACAGATAAAGACAGATGGGAATGCAAGTGACACATTCAGAAAAGAAAGAGCAAGGCAGTTGGAATGACAAACTATTTGTAGGGTGACATGAGAGATAAGGCAGGAATCAGATTGTGAAGCATCAGCTTCTCTTATAATCTCCTGGGATTACATATAACATCAGCTGTTATATATAACATCAGCTTCCAGGAGGATTGCTCAGTAACTATATGTTAAACAAATTTAAAAAAAAAAAGGAGCCTTAAAAAGCAAAGGTCTTTCAGGGACTGAATGGAATCAGCAGAACCACAGGGTCTCTCCCCAAGTCCTTGGCTCTTCCCAATGGCCCCCTTCTGGTAGATGTCAACACCATGAACTTAGATGGTTATCTAAATTTCAGGGCTGTTTCATCACTTCTTTGGCAGAGAGCCAAAGCACTAATTATAAAATAAGTGTGTAATCTTCAAAATCCCCTTTGAGATCAATGTGATCCAGAGGGCTTCCGAGCGGTCCAGGGTTGCCTGGTTGCATGTGGCTTATGGTGTCTTCAGCATGCTCCATGAAGCTTCAGAGGCTCCAGAAGCATTGTGGGGGTTACTCAGGGAGAGAGCTTAGAAAGAATTACAATCCTGTCTAATTCAAGCAGTTCCACTCTTTAAATGAGGGTAAAATTTGGTTTGAAGAGTGTCATGGCTAAGAACATCTGAAAAACTGCTAAGCTTTATTTTTAACACATGTGGGGTTTTTCAAGAGTTCTAGCTCCAGCTGTTTACATGATGGTAGTGGAAATACCATAGGCTTGGGGACGGCACTTGGGTTTTAACCCAAGCTCTATTCTATGTGCTAGAGCACAGCTATCTGGACCCAATCACTATGGTGCCTGTTTCATCATCTGCTCCTCCAGGTTTGCTGTGATGAATAAATGAAATAATGTACACAAAGTCTTAAGTGTGCCTACCATGTAGGAGGTACTTAATAAAAGCTAAATTCATTTCCTAAATGAGATCTATTTATATATTGGATAATCTATACTGGTGGCTG